TAGTAGCAGTGGTAGTAGCAGCAGCAGCAGTAGTAGTAGTAGTAGTAGTAGTAGCAGCAGCAGCAGTAGCAGGAGCCCTGTCAGCATTTATCTGTGACTGAGAAGATTACCCATCTTGTTATGGTTAATGTTATCATTATTACAGCTGTTCAAACGAGTAATATGTGTGTACTATGATTATGATATTAAATAGTCTTGTTGTCGTCGTATCTGCTGGCATTACTTTTATTATTACGATTTGTTCCCAGTCTGGTGCTTATGATGATTGTGGCTTTTACGACTGTTATGAATTCTTCTGATTGTTCTTAGTGAGTTTTGCTGTTATTACTGTAACTACTAGTAATACTATCCGTGGAAGTAGCAGTAGCAGTAGCAGCAGTAGTAGTAGCAGTAGCAGCAGCAGGAGTAGTAGTAGTTGTTGTTGTTGTTGTTGTAGCAGTAGCAGTAGCAGTAGCAGCAGCAGCAGCAGAAGTAGCAGTAGCAGTAGCAGTAGCAGTAGCAGTAGCAGTAGCAGTAGCAGTAGCAGTAGCAGTAGCCATCATCATCGCCGCAACCACAAGCACCGATGGTCATCATCACAGTAGCAATACCAAAGTACCAGAACATACCAGTGACATCGCTATACATGCCCTTGCTCTCGGCTACCGGGAGCAGTTGCCAGCTCGCCCACAGACATGCTGTACTCGACTCGCGACAACAACCCGACCGACCGCCCTCGCATGGTCCTGAAACACACGCACCGTTCGCATGGCAGAAGAGCGAAGGGCGTCCAGCCAGCGCCAGTGCCGGGGCGACTGAAGACAACAACATCAACAACTACAAAAATCCTGTGCTTCCGTGCTTCGAAGTTTGACTGCAATTCTTGGCCATGTCAGACTTCATGCGGTCAGATAACGGTTCCCTCCACAACCCCACCCACCCACTTGCGCAAACTCCATCTGTCAGTCACTGCCTGCTCGGAGCTGCCCAACAAAGGATCAGATCTGCAGGGAGCTGCTGTGTCAAATCAGGGCTTCTTGCACTAGACCTCAGCCAGGTGCTAGCACCTAGCCCGACATAGGGGACAGAATTTGAACTCAAAAAGAAACCATGTACAATCACGTACATGGCTCTATGCTACCTAGGTATCCTAGGTGCACCTAACGATAGTCCGTCCATGTCCGTCCGACAGATAGACAACAGACTGACAGAGAGAGAGAGAGAGAGAGAGAGAGAGAGAGCGAGCGAGAGAGAGAGAGAGCGAGAGAGAGAGCGAGCGAGAGAGAGAGCGAGAGAGCGAGAGAGCGAGAGAGCGAGAGAGCGAGAGAGCGAGAGAGCGAGAGAGCGAGAGAGCGAGAGAGCGAGAGAGCGAGAGCGAGAGCGCGGGAGGGAGGGAGGGAGGGAGGGAGGGAGGGAGGGAGGGAGGGAGCGAGAGAGAGAGGGAGCGAGAGAGAGAGGGAGCGAGAGAGAGAGAGAGAGAGAGAGGGAGAGGGAGAGGGAGAGGGAGAGGGAGAGGGAGAGGGAGAGGGAGAGGGAGAGCGAGAGCGAGAGCGAGAGCGAGAGCGGGAGCGATAGAGTGATGCAGAAATAGAGAGGAAGGAATCATGGAGGTGGATAAGACAGGAGAATAGGGATTAAGTTAGATTGCGGAAGATTAAACTACTAGATTAGGATATCAGGAGGCGTAGATCAGATAGATAAACCGATAAGGGGAGATCAAATGGAATAACACCAAGTAATCCAGATGAGATATGGTGAGATTGAGATGAGAACAGATTAGATAACATAGGATAGTATCAGATAAGGCAAGGACAGACAAACAGATAGATAGATAAACAGATCGATGGATGGAGAGCTCTATCGTAAATGTAAGCAATGACTTTCGCATTAACCATAAACGCCTTGAGGCCTGGACATTGCACCCCTCCAAGCACGGGATTGCCCTACGGCTTGGGGTGTTTCTGGGTTAGGTCTTATGGTTGACAATGTACGCTTTTCTACTGAACATTGGATGTAGGGCCTTTCGTTCTAGCTAAAACCACCCACCGTCGACAAGTTTCACGGCCTCTGCTCGTTCTCCGCACCCTGGCAAGCAAAGCCAGCGGAAGTCGAATCTTCGGGCTGCGCAGGCTCAGGCTGACAGCTACAGTTGGCAAAATGAGCGTCCTGTGGTAACGGCGCTCAGATGATCGATGAGATGCTGTCGCAGGCCTGCCATCCCAAGCCGCTCATCACGACGACGAGGACCTGCCAACTTACAGTCCAAGCCCGAGCTTTTCCGTTTGGAAGAGCAGCGCCTACCTACTTGCCAAACAAGACCGGCGGGCGATGGTCAATGCAGCCAGCTCAAGCAGAAGGTTGAAGCCTACGTCCTGGCAGGCTATGCGCCAAGGCTGGAGGAGCCACGAACATCCTGCAGGCACCAGATGCTGGACGGGCTCCTGCGCGCCCAGCAGCGTGGAGATGGAGACCAGCAGCAGAATCACACCTGACCGCTTGAGAAGACGGATTTCGAATATGCATGATGGCACGGGATGGACGATCCAAGAGCCTGCGAGAGGCTGTGATAAGAAGCATTGCCCTGACGCCCTAGATGCCACCGGTGAAAACAACCGCTTGACTTGTAACTGTCAATAGTCTCTGGGTGGCCTGACACAGAAGTCCAGCCCTGAAGTCCAGCCCTGTTGGAGGAGCCCTTTGCACTCGAGGCGGACAGCATGGCCTGCGATGACCAAGAGCAGATTCGACCACCACCTGAGGCTTCCCAACCGTTGACACCCCTGGTAATCTCTCAGAGACGAGCTTGGAGGCTGAGGCTCTCGCTGGGCCACTTCCCGTGCATATTTGCAGCAAGCGCAGCAGCGGGTACTCGCAGCAGCTTCGGAAAAGAAAAGGCAAAAGCTCGATCGCCGCTGGCAGTGATCTTTCGCGTCCTTGTTGCCAGGTCTTGTGCCATGCAGCCCCATACTCGGAGAAGCCCGGCGCCCCCAAGCAGCAGCAGCTCGCCTCAAGCGAGCTTACGGCCAGCACGGCCCTACAGCAACGGCCAGACCCAGTAAGGAGCCCGCCCTCCAGAAGCATCCTCGGAGCTCAGCAAAACACGCTTTAAGAAAGACTTCCCGAGCCAGCGGAGTGGGTTTTCGTCCGGTGAATGCCTCGTTACGAAGCCCTCCGTCTTCGATCCCTTGAGAGATCAACATCCTGCACATCGTCTGCGCAGGAGCTGACCGTCCAACTGTATGTCTGTGCGTAATTGCTGGAGAAGCGAGAGGTTTTGGACTAGGGATGTCAAGGCTGGCATTCTGGGCTCCAAGCTGGTCGCTCATGATGGCTGCAGCTGCTGTGATTGCAGCAGGGTTCGCTACCGCACCATAATCTCACAGCAAAGTCCACCCATCAGGGCCCGAAGAAGCCGATTCCTAAATCGTCAGTTCTAGTATGTTGGTTTTGCAGGTACGGTGCCCAATCCTTCTTGCATGCGTGAAGGTACTGAGAGAGAGAAATGGCTGCTTGACACTGCTCGCTATTTGACTGTCTGTGGCGGGAGGCATAGGCTTTTAGGAGCTGCGCCCAGCAAGAGACATGAACATGTGAGCTACAGAAGAGGACGGGCATGAATTGCTCGGGCACCTATCAGCTGTCCTTCAACGGCCTATACTGCTGGCATCATGGTACGGACCCATGCTTCTTGATCCAGCTTGGCTTTGCAAGCACACTGTCAAGTTCCAATAGCGAAGAGCATCCTAAGTTAAGAATTCCTTTCGCGTGTCGGGCATCCTCAACTTGCAGCGATTGCAGAGCCTTCCAGCTTCAGGACCAGATGCTGCAAAACCTTGCTTGCAAGTCCGTGATCATGTACGAGCGGCAATAACTCAAGCGACTCTTCTAGCTACCCGGTTTGTTAGAAAGATGTCAGATGTTACTAGCATCAAAGCCTGCCCGGATTTCATTTTGCTTGCCAGCTCCTGGGTCCCTTGTTGTCGGCAGTCGAAGCAGACTACATCCTGGACGCACGGGCGAGGGCACTTCAGGAGCTCAGTTAGGACAGGAGCGTTGAGATGCGCAAGGGCGCTTTAGGACACGCCTCAAGTCACCCGCAGCACCCAGGGTTTCCAAGACCTGCCGAGAGGAAAACTGGTCTCCCAGCGCCGCGCAAAGGGGCGAGCCGGGACGGCTCAGCCGTCTCAGCCTTTGGCCGAAAGCCCCGCTGCCCACTCCGAAAGGTTTAATCGATGCATAGTTTCCAAGGTGCAGCTGGGGATGGAGCTCTCTCGAGTCCTGTGGTCAAGCACGCACATCGCGCGAGGCTGTGCCAGTTTCTTCGAGAGCTCCGCCACACCGGCTAGTCCAGCTGACAGCACGGAGGCATGGCAGCTCAGCTGTGACGCAGAAAGCAAGTCGGGTACTAGTAGGGGCTTCGTGCCATAGCCCCAATGTGGGGCGTTCGCTTCGGCGTCCCAACCATTCTGAAGCTGCCGGCACATGCTGAGCGGCCACAGGAAACCTCCGTCAAGCTTGCATAGCCTTCTATCAGTGAGTCTTCGAGGAATCATCTCCGGGACTCACACCGGGTCTCCTGACAAACCTCCGGTCTTGAACCCGCACTCAATCTATGCTCTATGCGAGTGCCGACCACTTGCTGCAGCACGATCACACACATGCCAGGTGCATCTTATGTGCCAGGTACTGGGCCTAAATCTAGCCATGACTGTTCTTGAGCGGAGTTTTTCCACAACCTATGCTGCCGAAACCTGCAGCCGTTGACAACTCTGTATCGGAGACCTTCAAGTTCAGGCAGACCCAAGCGTCATGGGGTCGTTCATTGGCACGGTGGAGGGAGATACCCTCACGCCCACTCTACCGCAGGCCCAAGGCATTCCTTGGCTAGAAGGCAATCGCATGGGGCAGTCGCAAGATGTTCAGAAGGGGACAACCTTTAACCAAACAGTCACTGAACATCACTCAGGCAAGGGGTCGGCCGAAGGGCCAAGTCGCCGACAGATGCTTAAGAATGCAAACCTTCATCTACTCCAGCAGAGTTTGGGTGGCTGAACAGCTTGAACTCGATGCCCGCTCAGTTGCAAGTTACCGTGCAACGCTCGAAGAGTCTGCCAAAGTCCACCGAGCCACGACGTGGTCTGATGGAGCTCCTTCGCCAGCTCCGCATCCTGGAAACCGAATTGGCTGCCGACCCCCAGAGGCAGAGGCAAAGAAACGTTCACAGCACGGCGGAGGACTCGGAGAGTTCGACGCTCTCCGGCCAAGAAGGCTCGGCTCGGCTCCGATGCTCTGGAAAGAGGCTTCCAACTCAGACGCTGACACGAAGATACACGAAGCGATGACAAATCTGTCTCAGTCTGCGCTTCCCGCAAACCGGAGCGTCCTCGGAGAGGCGGCAGCCGAAGCTGGGGATCATCTCCCGAAGTTTAGGGCTCCACCTGCGAGGCTTGGGCGGGAGCTCGAGAGGCAAAGGGTTCAGCGCTTCGCCTCTTCAGATCCTCGGGGAAGCAGCTCGCCAAGACCTCGCAGCGGACCCAACTCTGTGCTTCTCTGGCTCTTGCCGTAGTGTGCTCGTGCACTTGCACAAGGCGAGACACCAACTTGGGGCGGAAGAACTCAGCTGGGTACTGCTACTTCTATCCAAAAGCCGTCTGCTCAGGCTGGCTGTGGTCTCTTTCCGGGCTCCCGACATCGAGCGAAACCTGCCAGTGCTGGGCATGGACGACAGAGCTGGAGCAGAAGTCCCGGCCTGCACGGCTGTCGATGCCCCGGGTGAGGCCCCCAGCAGCCCGGCCAGGGAACCTGGCCGTAAAAGCAAAGGCAAAGCCGCAGCCCGACTGTCACCAATGCCACTTCGCCGAGGAGCCATCCTCTGCTGCAACCACCTTGCAACGCAGAAGTCATCACCTTCTGGCTTCAAAATTCAGGTACGGCAGCGGGGATGCCTCGGTGCCGAACTGGAGGATGCCTTCACGGAAGAGAAGAGGCTCTGTTTGGAGCGAGCTTTCCCTTTTGCCCATTTGCCTGTCTTCTTGGGGTCACCCTTGATGATCTGGACGCGCTGTCCGGCGGTCACCAAGGTCCAGTCCTCGGCCTCGGCATGGCAATGGCATGGTCCAACGGTGCCCCTTATTGGGAGAGCTACGGCTACCGACGGCTACCGGCTCCCGTAGCTCTCGCCCGCCTTCGCGTCTGGGACGAACTGTCTCAGTTCCGCGAGCTTCTGTGATTTGCTGGCCATGAGCCTCAAGAACATTTCACCGGCTTCGAAGGTCAGCGGGCTCGGAGGGCTTTTTGCTGGGCCAAGCTGCTGCTTCAGCAAGTACAAGGAGAGGTCCAAGTTCTGAAGCCCCGCCGCGGCCGCTGGGATCACGTTGCCACACCTCCCGCGAGGAGAGGCCGAGAGCCGAAGGCCTTTCAACTTGGAGCTGACACGACAGCCCCGACGCGCCGCAGCATGCCGCAGCGTTGTGGGCTGGGTTGGGTTGGGGGGGTTTGGGATCTTCCCCCCCCCCCGGACGGCGGCCTTTGGGATCGGCTGACCTGATCTGCGAAGGAACCGCCCCCTTTTGTCGGGAGCCTGATTGATCTGAAGAGGTCGGTCAGGGAGCCGGATTTGAGAAACCTGCTACAGTGGGACGTGCGCGAGTGCCGTCGGTGGAGCGGGTGCAACCTTACAGAACCTTGCCTCGGACTGAAGCCTGCAAAGGGCCCAAAGAGGAGCACTGGCTGCCCGCCGATTCGCCGGGCATCGAGGTGCGGCACCTCTGTGAAACTGATGCGCGTTCTCGGCATACTTCCAGTTTTCTGGTCGAGTCGCCGATTTTCTGAGCATCCCCGCTCGAGAAGGTTTGATCGAATGTGCATTCTTCACTTTGGGATCAACTTTGGCTGACAACTCTCACATATCACAAGGATCCCAAGATATCCCAAAAAACAACACACGAGACATGTTCTGCCGGAAGCGCTGACATCGGGGGAGCGCCAATGGCAGCCTGCCGGGAAAGCCGGAGTCAATCGACAGCGATTCGCTTGAAGAGGATCGAATACCAGAAGCCCGCGAGGAACCAAACAGGACATAACAAATTGAAGCGAACCGAAACGAAGGTGGGTTGCAGATGCGGTCCACTCGGAATCAACTGGGCAGTGTTTGCACTGGCCTTGCCGTAGACTTTGCTCACGTGCTTGCTGGCCACATCCTGGAGTCTGAAGCTAATTTACGAGTGGAGCAAATCTGCCTTGGACATTCCAGGACTGTACTTTCGTGAGCTGCCTAAAAATGCGAAACCCATGCCAGGATGATGCCACAGTCAATAACAAAACAGCAGCGCTTCAGGGCGTTCGCTCTTAGTGAACTCGAGATGATGAATTGCAAGGCTTCGAGTTTGCAGAGGGGTCAGGGACTTTGGCTGGGCCCTGCAAGCAAAGCGGCGGGGTTCTGGCACACCAGGAACTCGCCACTGATCCTGGGATACGCAGGCAGAGATACATCCGTGCATTGCTGGTGGGTATCGCCTCTGCACAGAAGCAACAAATGACCCCTACCACATCGAAGATACTCTTCTCGGCATGTGCTCGCTAGGTAGCACCATACAGCACCGCAGCTCTCCCCGAAGGATTGAACCAGCTCAGACGGCCTGTCGAAGCTTGCAACCCGGACCAACGAAACTTACGGTGCTGATCTCAGTTTGCCGGATGGAATTTCTGCTCTCATCCGAGCCACGGGAATCCCATGAACCCTCGGATCTCCGGGATGCCAGATCGCTGCAAAACAGGAAGAGAGTAGCCACCTGCACCTCTCCAGGTATCTGCTCCTTTGTTCTTTTCTCTTTGTTGGGCTGACTTAAGATGTGAGGGGATACATGATGGCAGCTCTCCAAACAGAAGGTCTGGCAATGCTATGCGAGGCTGCGAGACCCTGAGCTGACTCTCCCAGGCGAATTCTCTGGCCTACGAACACGAACCGCGTTCGGTACCGCTTGGACCCGCTGCTGAGGCCGTTGGTCTTCCTGGCATGGGGCTTGGCAGCGGTGGGGGCTTGGGTAAGAGCTGTGACAGCAGCTCACGGCTCACGGCTGCATAGTTCAAAATCAGGATAGCAATAGTACACGTACAAGAGTTAACCATCATCAGCAATGCAACGACGATCATCATCGTGATCATCGTCATCATGACCACAAACAGAAACATGACAACAACTCACAGTCGTAAGTCATAACCGTTTTCCTCATAATGAGAAGAAGATTTCTTTCAACCCGAAATAGTGATGCTCCTGCCTCGTGCTGACGATCCAGGATTCGTCGTAGAGAGCAGTCCTGGTCAGCAAGTGCAGCACGTGGCAGCAACCCCTAGGCCCTAGGCTGAACACCAGAAGAACCCTTACATTCATTGCGGCTCAGTGGCTCATCCTTATGAAGATCTGACCTGCAGCTTCAAGGCCCAAATTCCGCCAACTGGAGCTCGCGTTTGAACTCCCACTGCCGAGCAACACAGTCGTTCTCAGCTGGACTTCGCCCCCCAGCGCCAGGAAGGCTTTCGTGAGCTCCTGGCGACCAGAGGGAGATGGTCAAGTTTGCGCGTTGCTGCCCTGGCCCTTCACTCCTTGGTGAGCTCGCCGAAGTCGACATCTGTGCCGTAGGGTACCCGCGAGAGCGCGCACCTAGCAGATGGAACAAGCGAAGGTTCGCTTGTGCACCAGCCCTCCAGCCTCTCCGACTCTTTGCGGCCCGCCATCATGAGTGGTGCCCACTCTTCCATCGTCTTCCTGTCGTCTGAGTACTCCATACCTCGCAAGGAGACAGATTCAGAACAGAGCATGCTTCGCCGATTCGCTGCCGGACAATCGCCTTCGAAGAGGGTGTGGCTTTTCAGCGCATCAAAACCTCAAAGGACGGGAAGGCATTAGCAACTTTGAAAAAACGCTAGAGAAGTTCTGGAGAAGTTCTCCATTCGATGCTTTCATTTCTGTGAATGGTACAGTAAGCGCACTCGCCCTGCAGCCGCTCCGGTCCGAGAGGCGCTTCTTCAGCCAAGAGATCTGGTCCTGGCACGTGTGACACTGGAAGGCACGACGATGGCAGCGGGCACACGTATGTTGGAAGACCGTCAACACGTGTGCATAGTTGCCAGGAGCTAGAGACTCAAAGAGAGCCTCAGTTTCCGCCCCGAGAAACAATCAGACAACGTTGAACGGGATGTGCATCGTGAATGGCTTCTGCCTGTTCCACCACGAAAGTTGCTTGAAAGGCCGGCAGATCATGAACCACAAAGGCCGCAGCCCATAAACACATCTGTCTCGCGTCTCTGAGCAGGCCCTTCGAATTGGGCTGTTTCGAACTGTGCAGCATAGCCATGTAGCAGAGTATCCCAATATATCATGCCACACTTGCTACACTGTGCGATACACATTCTAGTATGTCTGGACTTGTCATGCAGCCGCCTCGCCGCGTGCAAAGGTCATGTGCGGCGTCGTATGGATGAATCGCTCCGGCTGAGGCAGCAAGCCAGTCCTGAAGCAATAGAGCCAATCCGAAGCAGCACTCAGACGAGTTTCCCAGGCAGCTAGAGCTGTCAACCTAATTCCCCAGCAGAAGGTCTGCAATGGCACACATATTCTGTTGAGGTACAACTAGACAACTGCTGGACACAACTAGACGTAACATTTAGCAAAGATCCCATCTTTGCCATCCTGAGAAAACAAACTTGTATTCCCAAGCTGCTTGGCCAAATAGGCCCAGTACTGGCGGCTGAGCTGAAAGTTCTCATTGACCTGAGATGCTGCCTCTCGTCAGTCAGCATCAGCGTCCCTCCTGTTACAAGATCAACTGGACTCACCCTCGCGAGGGCTGAGCATTAGGTAAGATCTTGAGAAGCAACTGCTCGTCCAGCTACGACTCGAATCATGCTTGCAACTGCCAGGGGTGTTGAAAGCTCCGGCATGCTCAGAGCCCCCAGTTCCAGCGTGCCGTCATTTGATGTCATTGAATATAAACAATATAGAGCAACGTGGAGGAAATCGAGCGGAGCGCAAGTGAGTGAAGTGCATTGTGTCAGTGAGTGGGGCTTTTTCAGGTGCGCCCGCAAATGCGCACGCACATACATGCGATGCTTCTTCTCGGGACACGATCAAGGAAAACATCAATGGACCAAGCTGCAGTGACAGCCTTGTGAATGTCAACGTTCTTGCCAACCTCGCGCATGCTCAGGGCTTCAAGCCAATGCACGCAGGATCCAATGAGATTCCACGTGGTGCATTGCAACTCTGCCTGTGGAGTGTAGTTTGGCTCGCACAGAGCAGAATGACCAGTCCCAGCATTGTTCCAGGCATTCGAGCTCTCCTACAAGTTGCTGCTGCAGGGCTCCCGGAATTCTGATCTGCTAGGATCTCAAGGAGACAAAAATCCTTCACGAGCTTGCATACCTCCATGGGACAACGGGTCTGCTTCGTCCTGAGCAACAGCATCCAGCCGTTCGATCATCACCTTCAGCTGGGCAACGAAGATAACAAAGCCACCCAGACACTTTGTCCCAAATAAAGTCTTCAAGCGCATGCTCAGTACAGGTTTGAAGCTTCAGGCAAGACACAATGCGCCAGCTTGGCTCCAGCTGCTTCAAGAGCAGGCCAGTGGTTGCACTCATGATGCCACCTTGCAGGCTCCAAGCACACTCACTCAAGCTGCGGCGGCCGCCTTGGGCCCGGCCTCCCACGAGGATGACATCCACCGGCTCGATCTCCTCTTTCTTCCTCTGGAACAAACCTCATTGACTCGTCTAGGCGGTCTCTGGAACTCCCGAAAGCAGACCGCCCCCGGAAGCGCCTGAGAAGCAAGACAAGCAGTCGAAGAAACCTCCGAGCTTCTTCGCCTGTTGCGGGACAGGCGCTTGGATGTGTCGAATCGTAGAGAGCAGAGCCTGGCCTTGGGCTCTCCCCTATAGCGATCCCGGGTGTTGACCACGTCGTCGGCTCCGGCAGAGAGGCGCTTCGAGAGCCCGGCCGCATGAGAGCCACCTCTCGGGCGACCGATGGCCCCCGTGATTGCGTTCAGACTCTTGTGAGAGCGCTGTTGTGTACGTTCGAGCGTGTTTTTGCCATTTTTCAGGATCCCAACATGCGGGCCCCCAGCTTACCCATGGCCAAGCTATCAGTTCCAGCCAAGCTGAAATGCAACACGGAACCACGTTTCAAGAAAGCTGAACCCAACAAGTCATAATCATAAGCTCAAATCCGAGCGCAGGCACTCTGGCGCTGGCGGGCTAGCGCACCTTCATCTGCCGGAGGCAGCTTGCTGCGAAGCCTTCCAGGGCTGCCCAGGGAGCGCGCCTCAGACCAGAGCACCAGAGCAGTGTGAAAAAGCGCTTCCTTTGCCACGAAGGAAAGTCCCCCAAGCAACGGGCGGTGGACGAGCCACCGTTGGATGCTGCGTAGCTCGGCCTCAAGTTTGGGACTTCAAGCGGCTCCGAGAAGTAACGCGCTGTTGCGCGCCACAGAAAGGGCAAACTCGACTACTTCGAAGCCGCGAGTACTGTCGTTATGACTACTCTGTCCTCACTGTATCTTCGATCTGGAAAGCTCTTCAGACAAGAGTGACAGCCCGTCTTCAAGATCCGGGCACGGCTTTGGCCTCTGGCGATGTTAGCCCCTGCCCGCAGGATCCGGGCTCACTTGCTCGGCCTATCCCCTGCAACACCTTCAAACTTTCGCCAGCAGAGAGCTTTCACTGATACCTCCTCCTTCACCAAACTCAACATCCTGCCTTTGGCAGATCGACGCCAAGTTGAATCCCAAGGTCGGTTCGCCTTGGGTTGCGAGAATCAAGGTCGGAAGCTTCGAGAAATCTCCCGCCCGGCCTCGCTTCAGCTACAGCCACTTAGCCACTGAACATGGAGATTTCTTCATGTTTCTGATAGTCGCCATCTTGAAATAACTAGTTGAGCGGCAGCAATCCGTGCGCCGGCGAGAGAACCTTCGCCGGCGAGAGAACCTGCTCTCAAATGACAGGCACTGGAATGTTCTGTTTGACAATTGATCTCCGCGGGTAAAGTGAACGTTCAAACACAGACCCCCAGGCTGGGCCGTCGGCCGATGCGCTGCCGCAGATACGTTTTCAAACAACCCACCAAGCCTCGACCGCCGGCTTCTCTACGTGTTCCACGCTGGGAGACCTCCAAAGGAAGACGCATGGAAGCACGTTGAAGATCCCGGCTCTGACCCACTCTGACTCTGAGCTGGGGCTTCCACTCTGTAGCCACAAGCTGAGAGGTTGCCAGCGAGGCCGCCAGCTTGTTCTGGACCTGGGTTCGCTTACAAACACGAGCGTCACGGCAGCTTTCTTCGATGGGGAAGGCTTCGAATCGCCCCTTCACAGCCAAGGCACAACACCCGGCAGACTGATGGGTGCTCTGGCTGCGGGCAGCCTAAGACCGAAGCCGGGCCCGGGCCACGCTACCAGCATGTCAGGAGCCAATGGATCGGTGAAGTCTTTCGGGGACATGACTCTGAGATGTCGGCCCGTTTTGTCCGGTGGTTGTGAGCACCTGAACTCTGACTCAAAAAGTCGAGATCAGTGCGCTGAAGTGCAGTGCAGGGTGAAGATCCTGTCAGGACCACGAGGAGCCCTCTATCACAGCGCTCTTCTACTGCTCCCCGCCTGGCTGGCAGGCGCCGCGCTCTTCATCTGGGACCATTCATACCGGAGTCGCCTCAAAGGGCGGCGCTGTGAGCTCTGAGAACTGATCTAGAGATGTCTGATCCGCGCACTGCATCCTCTGGTCTGGCGTCTCGAAAGTTGCGAGTCGCCTCTCCCTGGGGGCCTGGCAAATCGGGAACTACCATCGATTGCACTTCGCCCGACTGCACGGCCTTCTTCGTCGCCTCCTCTCCAGGGAAACTCATGCCGGGCCCTTCCTCCCAGCTCCAGCGAATATGAAGCACGGCTATCTGGCTTAGCAAGCCAAGCGACGGCCGGCTGCAGCGGGACGGAGAGCCTTGCCAGGTCATTTTAACACAGCGCCCTCCCTGTCCTTCTGCTAAGACGGCTCAGATGACGGACCTACTGATCTACGTAGCTTCACTGCCAATGCCCACAGCCGGGAGTGGTACTGAACCGGCTCGGTGGGAGGCCCTGGATGCCCTCAGCTTCCCACGATTTTTGAGCGGGTTTGGGGCGCTCCGGTGCTGCAAAGCTTGGGCTCCAGCGCGTCGGGCTTGAGGCAGCAGGCAGCGAGTAGCGAAAGGGAGCACCTGAGCGAAGTGACTGGCGATCCAGGGATGATGGTGCATGACGGCGCCACTGGACGGATTGCAGGACGCATGCTGTGGACTGGCCGGGCAGGTCACAAAGACCTTTCAGTGAGCTCGGCACCTTCCGCCGGTGTCGCTGGCACGTTGAAGCTGCCGAGATTCGAAGTTGTACCTTCCCGGTAACCTGAGAGGGAGCAAAATCTCAGAACTCTGACTCCGCTCTCCAAGGACAACGCTCGGCTGGCTGCTGCTCGGCACACTGGGCGTGTACCGATAGCCCGTGGAGCCTTCGGCGGATGCTCGGGCTAGGGGGGGGGGGGCTCGCAGGAGCTTCGCAAGACTTTCTGAAAAGGAAGAGAGCCACACACGTCACGCGTGGCGCATCACGTGGGCCAAGCCCTCTGCTGGGCTGCACGTAAGTGGACGTCGGCTGGCCCCCTGAGAGTTCGGTTGCAAAACACAACGCCAAGGATCAGAGATAGAACAATGCAAGCATTGCTATGCCCTGGTACCAGTACTCGCTCCTGAGACCCTCACTGGCGAGCATTGCCGGTGGTGCCGGCGGCGGTGCAGTGTAGCTGTAGTATGGCCTGGGACCTCGGGTCTCGAAGCCCGAAGTCTACACAGACAACCAGGCTCTTGGCCTCAGGCTTTGCCCGGCCAGCAGCGTCTGGTAAGGAACCTGCTGAACACCTCGAGAGCGAAAATCGCTTGCTTCCGTCGTATGCAGAAACGGGATTGCATCCAGTGTTCCAACTTCGAGCTTTGTTTGCAGCCGTTCTGGCAATGAAGAGTTCTCCTGAACGAAAACTGGGAACATGGCTTAAGGGAAAAGGCTGCTTCGGTTCACGGCTTGAGCCTCGGAGTTCTGGCCTGGCTTGGCCGTGGACTAAGTGCCGTGCTGCCAGTCAGGGAAGGCTGGGCCGGCTCAGGCTGCAGACCTCCGCTGGGCGCCCAGCGGAACCGAGACTGCAGCGTTTTAGGTCCTGAAGTTTACCGAGGTGTCCCTTTGCAGGATGCCAAACAGCTTCCGAGGACCTATCCGAATCACACCGAACCCTGCTTTTCACTGTGCCGTCCCGCTTGCCTTCGAGCTTTGGATAGGAGCTCGTCAAGGCCGTCTGCGCCAGGCGTTCTGCAGCGGCAGACGGACAGGTAAACATGGACGGTCTGGTAGAGGGTAGATGGTTGCTTCAAGTGGCAAGGACTTCTTATTTGCACATTTGCGGTGCCCACGCAGTGTCGCGGCGCATTCAGAAAATGTGCTGGCACCCATGCGGCCCATGCTCAAGATTCCCCAAGCCCTTACACAGGGAGCGAAGCGCTAGCAATACGGACCCAGCCTTGTGGGGACGCGCTGGGGGTTCCCCTACCAGCGGAGGCGAGCCGCTGACCTCTGGGGCGCTCTGGGGCTCCCGCAAATGCTCTCCGCTTTCCGAGCCCTCCGACGGGGACCCGGGCTGGGGCTGCCGAGCACCCATGGCGCCGCGCTGTCGAGCTGCGACAGCTGGCTGGGCTCCAAACCTGAGCGAAGGATTCGGTTAGCGTCCCCTTTGCTCATCCGCCGACCGAGGGCTTGGCCGGCAAAGGTGTCCATGCTCGCTGAGCTAGAAGTGACGCTAAGCCGAAAAGCGGTTTTTGTGAAGAACCAGAAACCGCCGTCGTTACTTTGCCTTCCTCCGGTCCTGGCCGGGCATGGCTAGGTGTTGCTGGCAAAATGGCATTTTGATGAATTTTGTTCTACAGCTCCCTGTCAGTTTATGGAGGTCACCCTTGTCCACCGCCGTAGCACCGACCACGCTGGTTCGAAGGATGCCAAAGGTGCTCTGCCACCAGTATGAGTAGGCTCAGGAAACACCTCCTTTTCACACCCGATGCGTGCTGCACTGGCACAGCCGGGGACAGTCGCACTTCGCGGTCCTTCTTTGGGCCCGTGCGTCAGGCCGTCAATGCATCAGGCCTCCGTTTGGTGGAGCCAGCGCGGCCAACCCGTGGCCTTGAGCCCGCACCCACTGCAAACGTGAGGAGCTAGGACCTAGCGGACCTAGCAAGTCAGAAAGCCCGAGATACGTACCTCCAGATCGGCTTCCTCCTCGTCCAGGTCCTCCTGTATGCCAGGAGCACGCGGCGCTATTGTCGGAGGGAGGGAGGCAGGGGAGCAGATCCTGTTCTTAAATGCTGAAACCCCCGGTGCAAATAACTTCTGCAAAGAGATGGAACAACCTCCATTCGATTCTGCAGAAAGATGGAACAACCTCCGCTTGAACAAAGTTCGGAGGGTCTCCTTGGCTCGCATGGTCGCCCTGTAGTCCAAGCTCGCCCCGATGATATCGATGCTGACGCCGATGCCGCAAATGAAAACCGCGCCCTCGAAGCACCGCGAAGCACCGCAGGCATTTCAGCTACTCGAGCCGTCTCGGGATGCCTACGGCAGGTCCGACGAGGCACGAAGCCAGCGAAGTCTCCGCTGCGAAGTGCCAAAGAAATCGTCCCAAGACCACGGAAAGCCCGTCACTCAGCATCCAACCCAAGCGAAGCGCACGGCACCTCGGCCAGCGTATGCCTACCGGCTTGCGAAACCCCCAGAAGGCAAAAGCAGCGCGGGCTGAAGCCAGCCCGACATCTACACAGTGTGAATCAAAACGTTGCAGGCCTCGTGTCTGTCCATGCAAAGACAAAGACTTGTGGCAAGACTTCGGAAGGCGGACAGGGGAGCAGAGAGATGTGATTATTCAGCGGCACTTCTACAACGGTCGCTGTGGTTCACAAACTCCTTCCGAATTCTGACTGAGTTTGAGCGCGCTGCTCGCAAGCTGGTGATGGAGCGAAGAAGCAGGGTTGACGAAAGGGATAGGTTCATCGATGCGACCGAATGGTTTGCTCGGCGGTCATCCGACGTGTGCCCCATTAAGTAAGAGAATGAGGGGCTCGTGAGTATGAAACTACAAGTTCGTGCAGAGCAGATGCTGGTTCCGGAGGAGGAATCGGCTCCGTGCTAGCCAAATGGCATTTGGGTACGAATAGGCTGCGCTTGTTTACGAACCAATTCCAGCACAGCAACGTTTTGCCATTGTTTCAGCAGCACGGGCCTGCAAGTCGCATCAATGCAGAGATTAGTGCACAGCTTCTGATCGCAATGTCAAGGCTCCCAAACTTATCTTCAGATCTGCGGTGCTACACTGCTGGCACTTAGCCCACACGTCGGCAATTCTTGCCGTTTACTGTCCTCGAGCCGAAGAGACGGTGGCACGACAGAGCTACTAGAATCTCCTGCGGTGCCTCCTGCAGCACTTCCTTGCCTTCCTCCTCCACGGTCATGGAGGCCTCGCTGCTCGATGCGCGCACAGGCGCGCCGCTCTTCCGACACAGACTGTATGCTTTCATGGCAAACCAAGAAGACTCCAATAGACGCAGGCGGCTCCAGTAGCAGCTACTGCTATCAGCTGTGCGCATGCACGGTAACCTGGAAGATTCAGCGGAAGTCACCAGCAGCAGTCCTAGACAGAAGCTCGTCTCGGGACTGCCCGACCGGTCCCGACCGGTACACTTTCAACATGCCCTAAAACCTCTCTCAAAGTTGTTCTGAAGAGTAGGAGATGCCTCACACAGAGCTTGTTAGACGACAGGAGTTCTGCCGCGAGACAACCTTGCATTGTCTGCAGATCTCACACATGCACATCCAAGCGGCTGCGTTTGAATCGGCAGCTTCCTCTGCAGCGTTCAGAAAGCTCGCCTCAACAACAGCAACTGCAAAAAATCTGTTCACCGAAGATCGGCTTTGGGAAGCCAGTCTTGGTGTTTGACAGAAGCTTTCGTCTACTGCGCCAGCAGATACACTAGGGAGTCTCTGCTCAGATCTTCCAACTGCCGTCTTGTGCACTTCTGACATCTGGACCAACTGGCACCTCCTTTTTTTGGTAGGCACAAAGGCATTCGTCGCTCGGGGTCTTCTCTGCTCAGCAGAGTCGGGATATGTCACTAACGGGCAGCCGAACGCTGCGAGTGACTGAGGTCGCAGAGGACCCTGCCCAGCTGGGCGGGTAGGCCCCAGTCATGCCAGCCACTTTCTCAACACGACTCTCATCGAAGCAGGAGTGTAAGCTACGTCAAACAGGCGTCGTAGGCCTGTCACTGGCGTTTTGTTCGATGTGCTGACAAAGTCTGATGCAGGGACTGATGTTGAAATGAACTGTAGTGCAACAAACGTCTTTACTGTCGGTGTGTTTCTCAGCGGGCGCTGCAACTGATGGTTGAAGGATTGAGCTTCGGAGGCACAACGACAAGTTCCAGCGCCCATTTTCCCCGAACGGGAGATTTCAAAACCATTTCATCCAGCAGCCTGCCTCTGTCAGGACTGCAGCCAGCCAAAACAAAAACGTAAACTTTGCCGATGCAAAGCAAAAACAATCCTCTGAAGCCTGCGATGCTTCTTGTTTCTCAGGTGGTGTTAGGTGACTCCTGAAAACAGTGACGGTTGAAACCAGAGCGTTTGTGGAACATCCAGGCTTTAAAGTGATTGTGTCGGCTCCGAAGCCGTTCCATTGTTCAAACAAGTAAATCTCCTGCTAAATCCCCTGCAGCAGGCTGGAGGCCGCTTACAGACGCCTGCAGCCCACGAGCAATGGCCAGAGAGGGCAGTGTGATTTTCACATCGTCCCGGTCACTGCATTCTCCGAATGCTTGCGTCCGCTGCTGTTACATCAATGTTTCGGCCTTATGCTGCTAGCTAGTTGAGCTTAACTTGCAGCAGTGCAAGTTCAACATGCACCGAATTTTCACATCCAATGTGACGGAGTCTTGGCAAGATCAATTACGAAGTTCACATTCAACAATGATATACAATGATCGTGCTTCGTCCCACCTGCACAAACGACCTGCCCAACGCAGCATCAGTGCTGCCTGCTACTTGTTCTCGCCGAACAGCAGTGCAGGTCACCTGTGCATCCAGAAAAGTTCCCAAGAACTCACCAGTTGGAGGATCGGAGGCCCCACCTTAAGAACTGGTGTTGGAGCTGCCCATAGAAGAGCCTATGTGGCTTGCCTGCCGACAAGCGAGATGCATTCGGCGGAAAGCTCCACCCTTTTTGTACTTGGGCTTCGGGCTCAAAGGTAAGGTACGAGGAGACTCCTCAATCTTGCTGCTTGAAACTGAGAACGTTGTGCAGTCTACGGTAGTCTACGCGACCTGATGAAGACTGATGAAGTCCATGTGGGCTTGCTTGACTGATGTGCGTGGAGTGATGCTGTTGAGACTGAGTCCCTCCTCACCGAGAAACCGAAGCAGAGGTTTGAGTACCACCGACTCGGCTGATTGAGGGCGTCGAGACAAGAATGCAGGAACCTGGATCTGATGTTCGAGATGAACAAGTTCAGCCTAAGCACTTGCAAAAGCAAGCTAGAACACAAAGCTTTAGCTGATGCAGCCCCATGGTGGCCACAATGCCGACAGTTCGGCAGGCTGCGAACGCTGCCCTCCTCGATGCAAAGCAACATTTCTCCTCACAGAAGGAAAGCCGGAGGCCCTGGACCCCGCAATGTTAATTCCCCTTGCCTTTGATCCGGCGGCGGAGCCTCCTCTCCGACGATCCTTGCCCCTGACAGCTTCAGGGCGGAGTACGGTATGCTACCATCACGACGGAGGACAGGGTCCAGTTAGTTAGTAGGGCAACGTAGGCCAGCATTTTGAGCATCCACGCAAACTTTCTACGAAAGCTGACGAGACATCAAACGACTCGGCGAGCTGAGCCTGGCTGAAGTCACCTTCGCGATCCTTGGGTTTCTGGAGCCACAACCGCAAAAACCACAACGAGAGGCTCACGAAAAGACCGCCCTTGCACGCTAAGCGAACATCCCGGCCTTGCAAAGTCGTGGGACTACGGCTTCGCTGCTGGCAAGACTCATCTTTTCCAGACGATCGAAGCGATCCTCATCGGTGAGGTTCGCCGTCTCCTGTCTCCAAAGGCTAATGACTTGTTTTCCCGAGGAGAACAACAGCGGTTCTCGAGTCTCTGCGAGCCTCAGCTGGCCAAGGCATTGTCGGAGCGGTCGAGCCGCCGTAACCTGCGGTCACTCAAGCACAGCAAGCACTATCTCAACTGCCCCCGTGCGAGTCCTTGCTGGCAAAGATTTTAAACTACTCGACGCCACTGCGCCGTCTGCGGCAGGGCACGCTTCACAGCGTCGGAGGTGACGATTTTTGCGCTCCTTAGCATGTTCGATACTGCGAGACCTCCGGCCGATTTGTGTTCCGGTGCGTCCCACGTCCACAAACACCTCTTCCTACAGCTTGAAGACCCCGAATGCCTATTCGCACAGGAGTCACCTCGACCTGAAGTGCCTTGAATTAAGAAACAGGCACCCTGACCTATGCTTTGCTCTTTCGGCCGACAGCGAGGCAAGGAGCGCAGGCTCCAGGATTTGAATGCCCCCAGCGATGCCCACGTCACCTGTTCCAGCGAGCGTCAGGCGATTCGAGTCTCCATGCCTTCGTTGTACTAGCGGGGTGAGTCGCCAATCCTGTCCCTGCCTTCGTTGAATTCCAGCGGCTGATCGAAGGCTAGGTTCTGGAGGAAGTTCTGCCAGCGTTTTCGGGGCACCTGAGCTTCATAGGCCGACCCATGGCCGGATGTTTAGCATGGATGCTAGATGATGTGCCAAAGTAGCTTGCAAAAACGGGTGGAACCAGCAACTCGCTTTGCTTTCCAGTCCGTGCAGATCGGGAGACATCCACTTCTCTCAAACATGCCAACTGCAATGCTCAGCTAGAGTAGCTAGAGTGCTGACGTAAGTCTGTGGAGAAGGGCAGCTTGCTTCATGGGCTTCAGGGCGACATGCAACTTTGCCAGATGATGCATCCGCGCCTGGGCCATTACCTGCACGATCACCTGAAGGGGAAGGCAGGATGTACAGCCGGCCAGTGAATTGACGGACCAGTATCCTACCCAGCAGCACTTGGTTGCAGTCGCTGCAGCAAGGCTTCGTGCCGAGCAACAGCAGCCCGGGTGAGGCGCGCGTTGCCGTAGATGTCTTCAAACATGTTATGGTATGCTTGGTTGAGCTGCGCTATCAACAAATTCCTTGGATGCAGCTGGTGCAGCTCCAACCGCAAGAGCACGCAGTATCTCTCCAGCCAGGCCAGGTCACACCAAGAAGATGAAGACCAAAGCGACAAACATGGAGATGGCCACCTGGCGAGAAACCGTTCGGGCACATCGGGGTGCGCTGTCATTTGCAGAGAAAGATAAAGGCCAAGGGCGCACCAGCACAGTTACCTCCACTTGAAAGTCGTCGTAATGCCTTGGCAGGCGGCCACAGTTTAACGGCAAGGGGGTCTCGGACTGCTGCTTAACATGTGATGCCGACTGCATCAGCGACGTTTCTTTGTATTTTGTGCTAGCTACTCGCATCCTACCTATCGAGCCCTCGTGCGAACCTCGTAACGGTTACCGAAAACAGAAGTTGTCCCCAAGGTTTGCTAGTGCCGGCCAGATGCGTATTCGGGAACATGCCCAACGAAATCTGAAGCAGAGCACGCATCCAAGCGGGAACCTCAGGCAACGACGGCCGAGCAATACAATCATGCCGCATGAATCATGCCCTTACGTGCTGCAGCCACGCCCTGCCATCCTGGACCATAGACCGTTCATGGAAATTCTGTAAGCCGGCGCAACTGTTTCGAAGTCTTCAATGTGGTGGTTCAAGGCGGAGATGGCCTCAGCAGCTCAGGGCAGCAAGGGCCGCTTGGAGCCCCCCCCACAATCCGGTTCAAGCAAGGTGCAGTCGAGAAGGCCAAGATCAGAAAGGTCAAAGCCAGGACAAAGAGAACCACCTGCAATGGAGCTCTACTCTTGCCGTCCCTGATCCCTAGCAGCCGCAATGGCAGCAGCGCAGTAGCAGGAGCCGGGGCAGTAGTACTGCAGGGTGTGTCACTTACCTCAACGAAGCTGAATCAGTAGCAGGAGCAGTAGCAGTAGGGCAGAAGTGTCCTGAGGTCGGACTAGCTTCTGTGAAAGCTTGCGCGGGCACTTCTGATCCCGTGAACGCATGCCTGCGTGACCACAGCCAATAAAGCAAACCTCTCGGTGTGAAATATGCAAACATGAAGATCTTCGAAGAGCAAACTGCTGAAGCGGCAGTAGCTCTGCCTCCTACTCCACGACGACGACTACGACCAGGACTACTACGACGACGACTGCCACTGCTGCTGCTGCTACCTAAATGTACCGAAAAGGAGCCCGGGGCGACTTGAGCAAGGGATCTCTCAACCACCGCATCTCCTTCTGAAAATGCTCCAGTTCGTCAGCTTGCCGTCTGAAAGCCCTGGATGTCCCCTACCAGTGACCTCAAACGTTGAGCCTCGGAGACCAGGTAGAAGCAAACCAGCAAAAAGGCCGACACACGCATGGACAGGAGGCTAAAGTCGGTAAGGAGAAACCTTGGAAGCACGGAGCCATTCCGTAATCTTGTTTAGCGGATGCCCGGATGCCATTCAACTTAGGGGGGCTTTGCACACATCAGCAAGCATGCTGTCCAAAGCCCCAAGCCAAACTCAAAGGCTCTCGACTTCTCCGGGCGACCAGTATATCAGCAGAGCAATGGAGCTCAAGATGGAGTAGACGTCCATGATCTGCAGCATTCAACGAAATCGGGACGACTGCGATTCAGGCGAAAGGCAGCGAACAGTAACAACTCACTGCTCGGGCTTCTCGTCGCACAAGTGCAACACCCATCATTGCCGGACTTTTAGACTACCGTGTGTGAATTCGCTTCGCCGACCTGTTGGCCCTCAGGACAAAGGACCGAGAACAGCTCATAGTTCCTGGGATGTGGGTGTGAATTGAAGGCCCAATGACTGCACTACAGCGTCGGAGCTAGACGGCGAACATTTCACTCGGCTTGCTGCCCAGACCGAAGTCAGTGCCACTACTTCGTCGGCACCTACACCAACATAGAGGTCAAGATTGTCTGACGCTTGGTCCCCTGCACATCCCTGCGCAAATCCTAGAATCAATGTGGACTTAAGCCTGATCAACACGGTTGCCAGACCCAAAACCGCCTCCAAAACCCTCGAATCTTGCTTCCACGGCACGAAGCCGCACGGGAGTTGACACAGTAAGTAATGGGCTCCAGGGCAAACCTTGAACCGAAGCCCAACACGTGGGTGTTCGAGCATCTTACTTGTGTGATTCCCACACCGGAGTATATGCAGCTTTCTGGATGATGGTTATTTGCACAAGAAGCCTCACGTTCGTTCTTCCGGTAACCTAGACAGCTGTCAAAGCTGAGCGGCATGAACACGAAGGTCCACATCAGACCGAGCTGACCGACCTAAAGCGTGAATCCAGTGTTCAAGACACCTTTCCAAGCAACATCCCTCGCTGAGCTGGGCACCACCTGAAAGCTCTTCAAGCTGTCTGGAAGGGGGCAACATCCTCGGCCGCGGCATCCGAAGCAGTCCGCGAAACAGCAAGAGAATGGACCAGTCAGCCGCGGTTCCAAAGGCCCGCGTGACGGATCCCTGCTTGAAATCGCCGTACAGCTTCCTGAGGACGAGAACGAGATGCGCAGAGGGGCACCCTCGGAGCCCCACAGTGCCTGGTGAGGTTGAAACTCATCGATGGCAAACAGCCCAGATAGATAAAGACGCGGCAGCAGAGGGTGACGAGATTCTCCTACGCGAGACAAGGGACAAGGGCTCACGGAGCAGGTGGCTGCACGCTTGAGGGGCTGGGCACTGAAGAAACAAACAGGCACCGGCTTCATCGACCAGTGCAACAAAGTCTTCTGCTCAGCAGAAGCAAAGGCAGCGGTGGGCCTGCATAGAGAAAAAGTGTCAGGTGTGCGAAGCTTGGGTCCTCAAAGGTCTCTTTATAATCGTGATGAAAGAGGAAGGCTTGGCTGGTGGCAAAGACCAAGGCCGTGAGCAGGAAGTAGAACCGTCCTGAGGCACTTTCAAGGCCATCTATGCAAGCTGGACATTCGAAACCCCCAGACCTTAACAAGCGACTTTAACACGCCTGTCGTTACCTTCACCACCAAGGTTGCCGTCTGAGGATGTGCAGCACTAGCTTCAGCATACCCTCGCCAAGTCTCCGAGAATGAAGTAGAAGACTGCGAAGCGAAACCAAACTGTGTCAGCAGCCAGGCAGACGGCTGGGTGGCTTGTGATCCTTCGACATGTTGCTTGGTCTAGGGCTTGGACAGTTCAACAGGTCATCTTTACTTCGGCCGATCGGGAGCTAGCAGATTGGGGTCTGCTGAACCTCTCGTCGTCCGTTAGCTACACCGTTGCAGCACCTTGTCCTTTACATCCCGGCTCTGTGCATTTGGTCACCCTGACTGCAGCATGCGGGGACCATCTGTAATTCAGCCAGCTCACTTTGCATCCCCGTGGGTGCAAAGCCACTGGAGAGCCTCTTCAGGAAACAGAAGGTTTCGGATGCTTTCGGACTTCGGAGCCGGAGGAAGCTTCACGCTTCACTGCCTTTCCAACGAAGCTTCTACCCATGCCGGGTTCGCTAAGGCTAGATTCGCACACGAACCTTCGCCCCTCATGCTGCCCCAAACATGACAATGACAGGCCTGGTTGAAGTTGCCGTCTGTATCCTGCCGAAGACTTGTATGCCGGCACACGTGATCATAACTAGTGCATGTATGCTTGCACTGTTTTGCAGCCTCCGAGAACCTAGACGGCAATGGAACATGATGTGGTCGGGTGGCTAGTGCGCATGCGAGCACTAGCCAGTCACGTCCTGAAACTGGACAGACGGAGCAAACAATCACGATGTACATGAAGCGGCAGAGGCAGTGGCGACAGCCGGCGGCTAGCACTGGTGGCGCTGGTGGCGCTGGTGGCACTGGTGGCACTGGTGGCACTGGTGGCACTGGTGGCACTAGTGGCACTAGTGGCACTGGTGGCACGAGTGGCACTGGTGCTGGCACTGGCGGTGGCGGTGGTCGTCGTCATGGCGGTGGTTGCAGTACTGGCAGTGGGAGTGGTAGTGGTAGTGGCGGCGGCAGTGGCAGTACCAAGTCGTCGTCGTCCTCATCGTGTCTTCGTCGTCGTCTTCGTCCTCGTCGTTCTGGTCGTGGTTGCGGAGCGTGTGGCGGTCGCAGCGATGGTGCTGGTTGTGGTGTCGCTGGTGCTGCGCTGCTGCTATGCTTCCGGCCTCAAAATGCCTGAAAAGCACTCATGGAGGCAGCATCTCTCTCGTCACTAGAAGAGCCTCAATCCAAACCAGCGGTCCTGAATTAGATGCTTCACATAATAATTGACACGTCGAAAGCCGTGGCTTGTAAGGCCTCGCCGAGAGCAGGACATGCAAGCTGGCTGCTCAACCCAGGAGGTGCGAGGACCCTCGCACTCAAAGGATTTCAAAGGACAAAGATGACAAAGGCACGCGAGCGCCAAATCAGACCATCGAAGAGTGGCCAGAGAAGTGTTGGGGCACCTCGGATTCAGATCCTTTCCCAAGCCCCAAACTGGATCACCTCCTCAACCGATCTTGAAAAAGTTCTTCAGAAAGTGAATTAATCTGCTATCTGGCAGCTGTTGCAAAGGCGATGAATGACCTGCGGGACTGCACCAAGGCGGCCGCGATTCCACAACGTGACTTCACAAAATGTAGGCCCCCGCCTCCGGATGCCGTGTGAACAGTGCATCGCAGCCATAGTAGTACACGTCGCGATCCGCACGGATGATGAGAAGGTCCTGGCTGAAGTAACGGGTACCGGCTGTACCATGTGCCGCAGCCGCCTCTGAGACTTGCTGGACTCCTCGATGATTGCGTTGGCCACCGACAAACTCCCGCTATCGATGGCCCAGTATAGCGGAGAAATCGACTGAGTTCCCACCTGACCGGAGCACATGGAGCAGGCGAGTGTATTGTACTCAACCAGGTCTTCCTTCTGAATTAGACATGGGCCCAGTCTTTTCTAGCCACCCCACTGAGTTTGTTTTTGCTGGGTGGGCGGTTCTCATCCTTGTAGAGCCTACGCTGGGCTACGCACATCTACGCACTATATCACCGCGCACTGGGGAAAGCTGCCTATGCAAACACACTTCAAGCTATGATGACGCATGCATTTGTTTTCTAGCCGGGCTGACCCTTCTGTGAGTTTTCATGCAGTTAGCGAACCGGTTGTATGGACGGAAACCAACACGCCGCAAGTCCCTTGAACCTTCTAGAATCCTAGAACAAGGCCCTCAAATCCTCAAACCAGCAGCCTCATGAAGCTTAGAACCGGAAACGGCACATGAACGAGGACAAGACCAATGTCTACGACACTAAAAAAAGAAAACCCTGAAACTCTATTGTGTTGCCCTCACACGCGCCGTGATGCAGTCATGTCACGACTTCGACTACAGAATTGTAATCATCTGTATAGTCCCGGTTGACGGAAAAAGAATCAAACACTGTGCACGCAAATCTCTTGCTCGTATCTTTCCGCATTTTAGGACATGGCCTGCGCATTACACAGCCTACGCAACATTTCACATATCGGCC